GGAGGTCCTCTGCAAAACACTTACCTCCTTATTCGGATGTATCTGGAAGGAAGAGAGTGTGCCGGCTAATTGGAGCGAATCGATTATGGTGGCAATATACAAGAAGGGCAGTCGCACAAACTGTTCTAACCACAGGTGTTTTAGTCCAACGCCAGTTGTGACAAACTTACAGGCTTCCAGTCTCGTTCGTCGCCTCACTGTGGAACGGGAATCTCGGATTAGGGAAGAACAGGCCGGTTTCCGCCCAGGACGTGGCTGTATAGACCATATATTCGTTTTGCGACATTTGATAGAGCAGCGCCACGCAAACCGCAGGCCGACAATAGCTGTGTTCCTCGATTTCAAGAGTGCTTTCGATTCAGTAGATCAATCGATTCTGTTCGAACTACTTGTGCGGAAAGGTGTTCCCACGAAATATGTGAACATCCTTCGTGCTCTATGCTCGAACACTACAGGCCGCGTCAGGGTCTACCGTGTCCTATCGGATAGGTTTCCGACCACAAGTGGCGTTCGTCAGGGCTGTTTGATTTCCCTATTTTTGTTCAATTTTGTCGTGGATTCTATCATGAAGTGTTCCCTTGCGGAATCGCACGATGTAGGCGTTGAAGTGCTGACTGGTGAAAGATTAGTTGATCTAGATTATACGGGCGATATCGTCTTGCTTTTCGACAATGTTGGGGCGGCACAATCAACCCTGAATAGCCTATCCAGAGTGGTCCCATTATTTGGTATGCACTTCGCACCTCCAAAGTGCAAAGTGTTGCTGCAGGACCACCAGCCACTTGATGACCCCTTGACGCTTGCTAACGAGGAACTCGAGGTGGTTGATAATTTCAATTATCTTGGCAGCTGCGTCAGCAATGATGGGCGCATAGAAACTGAAGTCAGATCACGCATTGCAAAAGCCACAGCTACCTTCTTGAACCTGCGGCGTCTTTGGAGACAGAAGAGAGTTTCCCTTCGTCTGAAAGGCCGGGTATACAAGGCCACAGTGAGGGCCGTTCTGCCCTATAATAGTGAGACTTGGCCCCTTCGGTCTGCAGATCTGAGGCGCCTTCAAGTCTTTGATCATCGTTGTCTGCGAAGCATTGCTGGAGTCGGATGGCACCAGCGTGTGCGCAATGATGATGTGCGTAGGCGAGTACTAGGTGGTGATAATCATGCTAGTTTCCTAGAACAACCGAAAACACTGAATAAATTGCGTTGGCTCGGGCACGTGCTACGTATGCTTCGTCACCGCTTACCTAGGAGGGCCTTGTTCAGTCTACCAAGTGTTGGGGGGCGAAAGGCTCGAGGTGGACAGAAGTTGACTTGGCAGCGGGTAATGAAATCATTGACGACCAAACTGGGTGTCGTTAGTCCGTCTCGCCTTCCGGGTTGGAGTCCACGTGACTCGCCTTGTGCTTGGCTCGAGACTTTACAGGACATATATATATATATATATATATATATATATATATATATATATATATATATCCGGGAAGAATGCAGCATTTGCCGAACATGTCGCAGACCCCAGTGACTTGGGGAAGAGTAGTCAGTTTCGCAAACTTCGACGGCGACTGACCCGAGAGTTCCGCCGCATAAAAAATGCATGGTGGACGGAGAAGGCGCAGCAGATGAAATGCTACGCCGAACGCCGCCAACACAAGGAATTCTTTGACTCCTTGAAGGTGGTGTATGGACCGAGATGGGAGCCGCTGAGGAAGCTGATCGATGTTAGTTCAGGTGCTACCCGCACACAGACTGCAGACATAATGCAGATCTGGCGAAAACACTTTGACTTTCTCTTGAACAACCGTTCAGAGATCGACTGGCCTACATTGAACGGCCTGAAGCAGCGCGGATCTGGCGGATACGCCGACACCGGATGAGACGCAGAGAGCACTTGCTCAGCTACGGAACGGCAAGCGTGCCGGGGCCGACGAGATCCCGCCGGACCGGCGTTGGTGACTGCACTGCACCACTTGGTACAACGTGGATGGATTGAGGAGGAGATGCCTCCTGATCTGAAGGGTGCACTTTTGCTACCACTGTACAAGGGTAAAGGGAGCAAGCAATGTACCACGAATTATCCTGGCATCAATTTGCTGAGTTGTGTGGACAAGGCGATTGCCCGAATCCTGCTCAATCGCCTCGTCAGTCACATTGTGGAATCTAAGGTGGCGGAAGAGCAATGTGGATTCCGTTCGGGTCGCAGCACTATGGATATGGTGTTTGCGGCTCGTGAGTTGCAGGAGAAGTGCAGAGAACGACACCAGCCATTGTACTCGCTTTTTGTTGATTTCACCAAGGCATTTGATACGGTGAACCGTGAGGCATTTTGGCTGGCGTTGGGTAAGTTTGGTTGCCCGCGTAAGTTTGTAACTTTAATTGAATGTCTGCACAGTGGTATGCGAGCGAGGGTGCAGCTGAGTGGAGAGACCTCTGATGACTTTACAGTTGTCTCTGGTGTGAAGCAAGGCTGTGTCTTAGCTCCTGCCCTGTTTAATATCTATCTTCATGCAATGTTATCTTGTGCTTTTGATGCGGCTTGTGCTTACGGTGTTCGTGTGGAGCACTGTATTGATGGTGGGTTGCTGAACATCCGTCTTTTCGGTGCGAGAACTCTACTCTGTGAGACAACTATCCGTATGTTACTGTTTGCTGACGATTGTGCGTTGTTTTCACACAGCGCGAATGTGTTGCAGCATGACTAGTGCTCTGGCTTCGGCAGCGGCCAAATTCGGGCTCACCATCAACACAAGCAAAACTGTCCGTCTCTTTCAGCCTTCACCGGAGGTGCAATCTTCAATATTGCCGCGAATCAGCATTGGTGCTGAAGTATTGGAAACCATCTCCCGCTTCTGCTACCTTAGGAGTGTGATGTCCACTGATTAGCAGGTACACAGTGAGTTTCGTATCCGCGTGTCGAAAGCAGCGGCGGCATTCGGGAAGCTTGAGTACCGAGTGTGGAACAACCATCAGCTTAGCATTGGCACGAAGCTATGGTGTACAAATCCATGGTGCTGTCCGTTCTTCCATACGGCAGTGAAACGTGGACGATGTACCGGCGGGATGTGCGATATCTCGAGAGGTTCCATCAACAGTGCTTGCGACGGATTTTGCGCATCGGTTGGTGCGACAGAGTTGCAGACACGGAAATGTTGAGACAAAGTGGAATATATGCAGTGGACTGCATACTTTTGCTGAGACACCTGAGGTGGCTCGGTCATGTGTGGCGTATGGATTCGACGCGGATACCGAAACAACTATTATATGGTCAGCTGAGTACTGGGAAGCGGCATGCTGGGAAACCAAAGTTGCGTTACCAGGACATGATTAAAGTGAGCCTCACACGTTCTAATCTTGATTGCCGATCATGGGAATCGAAGGCACGACGTAACCACGAAGGCAGTTGCCGAAGTGCGGGAGAATGACCTCATACATGCAGAGAATAAGCGGAAAGTGGGGAAGCGACAAGCACCGATGGGTTGTACTCCATCGACATCGAGCGCATGGTGCTGTAGAACATGCGGTCGCTAGTGCTTGAGTCAGGCAGGCTTAGTGAGCCATAAGCGAGGCCACCCGGTACCACTGCCGAAGCGACGACGGGTCCTGCAGAGAACGTAGGCAGAAGCAGTGCAGCGTTTTTAGGTACGCTGCAATCGATTTACTAATCGCGTGCTTGCATGTTAAGTCTCTTTATTTCAGGTGGTGGGTTTTCAGTTTTGTTCCAATGCCTTTCTTTCTCATATAAATGTCTACCTATGCGGTCTTCTATACACCTGCACACGTCGCTTAAGCCAATTTGGTTAATTTCGACAACATTTTCGTGTTTGTGTCACTTCCGTAAAATACACTTTCTGACCTCGTGAACTTATCTCGGATCCTTTGTTGACAACTTATTTCAAATGCTCATTAATTCAAGACTTATGTCCCCGTTTCCTTATGCATTACTCGATTTATTTTATTTGTTATCTTCCCCTCAAGTGATTGGCTGTTTGCTTGATATCCCCGGTGTGGCTGCGCTTGATGTGCATGTTGACAAGGTGCTTACCTGTCTATTACCTACTACCTCGTCCATCTGGCTCCAGTAGACAGTTGGCCGTTGCTGGAGGGGACGGGGTGCACGGTCCTTGTGTGCGTGCTAGGTTCAAAGAGTGCTTCCATGCTCTCAGTGTGGATCGGACTGCGGTCCAACCACCGCATTGTGTGCACTTGATTCCCCAAATACAGCGTGCTTGTGTTTGCCTGTGAAGGAGTGTGGGCCAGGTCCGTTGATGAAATGTGACTCCCATCCGCCTGCCTCCCGGTCTTATTCCTTCGGGTTTACACTGGATATGGGGTGTGTGGTTGGAGTTGTGGGTGGTGCAGCGCAAGCCACCCATGGTTTCTCTGTAGGCGCAGGCGTCCTGTGGCTGGCCACAGTGACAGGCAAATCCGAAACCGGATGCCGCCAAATATATATATATATATATATATATTCATGTGTGTGTGCGAACGCTCAATCTGCGGAGGCTTATGTTGTGCTTTTCGCTTCTCTCGCGATATTTTTGTATCAAGACATGTTCTCAATAATTACTTTTGAATGACACATGCCATTCGAATATTGGCTCAACACCATTATCCTCATCTGCACTATAGGCTCCGGTGGAATGACCGTCTTTCATTGCTTGTCTCCCAAACGTTACAGAGTCCCAAACTTGATTCCACTACGAGATCGCCCTTGCATACCTTTTCGTCGTCTTTCATATGAGAGATGTATGTTAGGAGAGCGACCCAGATAATTCTTAGCAAATCTTCTCATGCTCCCATACTTCTTTATGATTTGCAGTGAATATGAGGTGTTTCGGCGTAAGCAATCCATCATCGCCCTGTGGGCACAGGCGTTCTGTGGATCTTCGCAGACGCAGTGACAAGCAAATCCGGAAACATCAACTACTAAGCATTCACCTATGCGCAGTCCACCGCAAAAATCTTCATAATCCAGTCTTTATGTCGCATGTATTATCTTTCAGGCATTCGGCAAAGATGACGTGATTGGATGTTTTCTCGATTTGGACACCGGCGTGATTCAATGGTCGAAAAATGGCCGTCTCTTCGGAAATGCATACTGGCTTCCGGAAAAAGTGTTGAGGCGAGCAGATCCCATTTTTCCCGCCGCATCACTCGTCGATACCACTCTTGAATTGAACTACGGAGATTTACCGTTCGAGTATCCACCAGAGGTAAGCTCTCACTGAATTATTTTATCTTTCACATCAGGATATTTTTGACATCCTGAATGGAAAATTGCACCCGAGAGCTCTGGTATCGAAATAATGTGACGATATTTCACGATGTAATGCTAAACCCACTAAGTAACAAGTAACATATGCTAGATTAAAGGGATAATACGTTCCTGAAACTATGCTATTGTGTGCAGTTAGCAACTTAAGAAGCACGAGATGGGCCCAGCAATTTTTTACACGTGACATCCACGTACGCTCAGTTTCCACGATCAACATATTGGAACGATGGAGAAGCACATTAAATGTTGGTAGTTGCGTCTGTTTGTGTTGCAGCAACAGATTTTTGTTCAATATTGTGTTTATTTTTCTGAGGATAAACTTAAAATAAAGGTAAACAGATGAGGAAAGGATTATAGATTGAATTCAAAAAAGAAACGCACACAATACGAGTACGATATTGATGTATGTTCTGGGGTCACGAGGCGTATACTTCTCAGCATAATCGGGTTTAAGCATTCAAACACTACTCATTTTATACAGCTTGGTTGGAACATTGTTGATAACGCTATAAAGAATGTTATGAAATCTCGGTCCTATGCAGTCAAGAACTTGGATTCGATTGTTTTACCAAGCGATATGTCTGTGCTCAAATGCATGCGGTAACTTGTGTAAAGATCCTAGCATATGGAAGCACAAAACACGCGAAGGAGTTATTGGTAGCCTGCTACTCAATCAATGGACACATCGAACTGGACGCAGTATACTCCCCACTACTGATGAACGACCGCCAATTCGATCAATTGAATCCGGTGCAATGTGTGACAAGACAATCAGAACTGACAGCAGACTCGCTCGCAAGAGCAAGCAGACAAAGGCCACGAAACACAAGGAGGCGTGGTGAAAGGTCGCATGCCCATCAACCAAGCTGAATGCTCGGCTTCACAGCCAACCACGGTGGTATAAAAATGCACGCACACTACGCTCAGCGCACTCTCACCGAGGCTCCTCTACGCTCATCTACGCTACTGCAGGCCACTCAACTACGCACTGATGATGTCACCTCGATTGGTGACGAGACGTTGCAACAAAATTACAACGCTCAGCGATCAGTTCAACTGTCATCTGAGCAACCTGAGCTACCTGTCTTCATATCTATAGCCAAGTTTGACTTCCTTTTATAAACCCGCTGTTTCAAGTTACCCAAGAGGAATAAATTCAATGGGTTCAAATTTCGTGACCGTGCAGGCTAATCTGTAGGTCTTCTCTGCCCGAACCAAGGGTATGGGAACGTTTGTTTGAGAAAATCCCACACCGTTTGTGCATAGTGTGCCGGTGCACTATCTTGTTGTAGCCAAACGGTACTTAAGAACTTAGCGGCTTCCAGTTTTGGGATGACACAATTTTGCAGTAATTCCTTGTACTTTGGGTGTTGGAAAGCGTAAGACATTAGTACCGTGAAACAACGACCAGCCGGTCACATTAACGGAAAACAAAAATGGACCCACGATTCTTTGGCCAGTTAACCCAGCCCATACCATGGGCTTTGCGCCATTTGGTATACTTGAAGCGCTGCATCGGCCTGGATTACCCGTTGCCCAAAATTGTTGCTTCTCTGCACCGTGCGAACGGAAAACAGCCTCATCGGTAAAAGAAATGAAGGGATATCCAGGACATTCAAATGCCTGCGGCAACAGTCCAGCCGCTTCTCCGAATCACATGGGTTTAAAATCTGCACTTGACGGGCGCTACACTTACGGTATTTCTTTTCCTTCAAACTCCTATGGACAGCAAATCTGGTGGTGTCGAAATCCTGGGCGTGTTTGCGAAAATTCAGATCGCAGCTTCTGGATAGCACACGAATAACCACACAAGCAGAAAAGTCATCCGCCTTGATGCCAAGCCGCCGTCTTTTTAGCGTCGCGCACGCTCCCAGTTTTCTCAAATTTGCTCACTTGCCTACAAACATACCGTCCGTTGATGGGCCGCTTGGCACTGTGGATAGTGTGGTATTGGCGAGCAGTTTGTTCAGTGTCACACCCGCACTCACAGTACAGACGAAAAATAATCATTTGCTGATTAACAGACACGTAACTCGATTCGGATTGAGAGTAACTTGCTGCCGGCGGTAAATGCACGTGATCCGATACAAAATTGGCAGCAATTTCACCAGTTCTCCTAGCCATGACCTGACTGCTGGTGCGTGTGTGTGTGCATTTTGCGACCAGCCTCGCCTTACACTGGTTAGGTCAACGCTCGTTGCCCTCACACTGACCTCCGTTAGTGGTTTGCCCGTCAGTCATCAATCATATCGGAGTCAGGTTATCGTGTGCTTGGGATACGGTGTTCGGCTGAGTCTCCGCGCCAGAGTGGCCACCAGCCGATGCAGTTTGCAGTCGAGTCTTTACTACACATGCAGCCCGACAAGAGCGGCCGAGGGACAACTGTGACGCAGCCTACGCGCACTCTCATGGACGCTTGCGCTCCTACCGAGTGTGCCGATTGGACGGGTTCATTTTGGAGGGAACGCGTCGGGTTTCCTTCAGGCGCTCATTGATGCAACTATCAGGGATGCCGCTGAACCTATTTTCTCAGACTGCCTGTAATTGTGATGAACCAAATTAGTCTTAACATATCAGCAGTCAACCACCAATCCCTACCAGTCACCGAAATGCTGTGTGAATTCCCCGCTACTGACAATGAAAATTGTGACACGGGACAGTCAACCACTGTCTTGTGAACCGGCAGAAGCCTGTATGAGAGTGGAGGATGGTTCTGGCTCTATCATAGTGAGGTTTCCATTCTTTATGGTCGACTACCGTCCCCCATGCACAGGCGTAGCAACTACTTTTGCCGCCCGGGGCGGGGTTAAGATATTCGCCCTGACTGAGAGGAGAGTAGGCGCGTGCATGCCACAAAATCGGCTCAGTGTAACATGTACACTAGTTTTCGTTGACTCGGATGATCGTTCGAGACCCTGAAGTAAGTATGCTGACAATGCCCACAATGGGGAAAGTGAATGGATCACTGAGAAAAACATCGCACAGGTGGGACACATTGCGCATATGTGTTGTTGCGCATACGAAGTAACATTAACATCCTCACCCCTCAGGATATCCGGAGTCTTTTGCCCTTACGTTTGTTATCGAACACACGATGGTATTAAAAATGACCCCCCCAGGTACCAAACCGTCCGTAGCGGACCGCCTCCCTTTTGTTATGCCTCTGCCTCCATGGCTTAGTGGTATAAACTTTTGGCTAAGTGGTACAAACCACTAGCGGTCATGGGTTCGGTCCCCAGCAGCAGACCGATAGAATGCGCCCTACTGACGAGCCTTAATAAGAAAAACGATAACGTAATGCTTTTCCTGACTGGCAGTCGTCCACTTGCGATGAACTTAATGAATGAATAAATATTGTCAATGATTCCTCGTCAGAAGAAGAAAGTGAAATGCACCCAAATAGTTCAAATTCAAGTTCACGCGGGACTGGAACGATAGGATTATCCCGTGAGTGTTCCTTCTTCGGCGGGTCGTTGGCGGACTTTGAAATACTGATGGACCTAAAATAAAGGCCGCATCACACCCTGTCCAACCAATTAATGCCCACGTATCCTGCCCTAGCAATCCCTGCTGGGCCGGTTACATGAAGTAAGAAAAAGAAAAATTAAACTCAGAAGGCAAAAGAGAAAGTGGAAAGAGCTAAGCAAGTGGAATACCAAGATAGTTAGTCATTAAAAATAGCACTGAAAAATGCAGGGAAGTCAGCTAGGAAAAAAGAAAAGTTTGCTGTTGCCACCCAAGAGCATCGAGCTGGCGTGCTTCAACTTACCTTGTTCAATCAAGTCAAGTCAGATCAAGTCAAATTAGGCTTTATGCACCCAAATAGATGCATTATCAGCGTTTACACCATCACTGCGGATACCTTAAATAAACACAGGCTAACTAATTAAATAGTCATAGGTATGTGGATGTCCTTCAAACAACCTCATGCCCAAAGCATTAGTGACTTTCATAGGGTCTACAGAAAATCGTGACAAATAAGGCAATATGGTGTTACGATACCAAGGAGTGCGAGAGGATAAAATCCCAAATTTGGAGCCTGTGTGATGGACAGCTAACGTTTGTGAGTGTGCATCACATAGCGGATGAGGTCGGTCACTTAGGACCTTAGAACAGAAATGCGTGCAAGTGTCGAAATGCTTACCAGCAGTCAAATCAACTATGGAATCTCTCGGCAAACCACCACATCTGGAACTATATTTAACCGATTACGCAATCAAGACCTAATCCTTCTGCAGTATTCCAGGGAAGATTACTGGGGAACAGTACAAACATTGGGGCAGTATACCTACAGTTACAAATCTCCAACTTAAGCTTCACGCTACGGAGAACTTCTTATGTCGGAAAGCATAAAAGATAACCTTCTGACCTTGTGAAAGTTCTCCAAAACGTGCATGGAGCAAGAGAGGTTTTGGGAAAACTAGACACCGTGATATTTGACAGTGGATGAAATAGGAATGATTTTGTCCCTCACAGCTAAGAGAGGGGAGATGTCTAAACTTACTCACAATTCATCAGGGCAAATAAATGAAAATTTTACATCATTACGTTTAAAAAAATTTAGTTTAGTGGACCCGCTTGAGGACCAACTCACAAGTGCATCTAAACCACATTGAAACGTAGACCTCTCAGTGGTAGGAAATCCGCGCCACAAGACAACATTGTCAGCATATTTACATCCAATGTATGTTGATGATCTGGGGAGACTTTTGACATATAAAGTGAATGAAAGGGGTGGTAGGATCGAGCCCTGCAAAACATCACAGTCAGCGCGGAGCATAGCGCAGGTTTTGTCGCCTAACCGGGTAAAGTACACACGATCAGTGAAATAGTCACGCAACAAGTTACAAATTTAGAGCAGAATCCCTTCAACTAAAGTCCGTTAAGTAGAACTGATCGGTCAAGGCTCCCGAACGCATTTGAATTGTCAAAAAGTAATCGTACAGACCAGAACTCCTTATCTAGCGCAGAGGCTATTGAATGCACAATGTACGAGACGGCAACAAGACTTGAGCACTGGGGTCTAAGCGCAAATTGGTAGACCTCATCAGCACGAGTGGCTGTGAAAAACCGTGGAACTAGTAGCTTTTCGATGGCCTTTAAGAGCACGTAAGTACAAGCAATATACCGATACTTGTGATGTTACTTTTTAAGAATTGGGGTTATTTTGGCTGACATCCAGATGTCAGGGAGGGCACCGATAGTGTGACTGTGGATTAAAATATTAGTCAGACGTAATGTAAGGGAATCGGCGCACTGCTTCAAAACCATTGATAATAAGCCATCAGGGCCATTAGCATTATCTGCATGTAGCTTCTTGAGTTCTCTGTTGACGTCAACTTGCTCAAATAGGGTGGCTCGGAATGAGCTACTGATGGAGGGCATTGGAAAGGCGCTCGACGGAGAGGAACTAAACTCAGAATTGAGTTTGGCAACATCCACGGTTCCAATACTTCCGATGGTACTTTTACCACAGATTTGCTTCAACAGACTCAACCGAGATCCCGGTAGCTACGGTTTTCCAGTACCGTTTCATGGCATAAACTGTTAGCCTTGCTATTTCAGCTTTAATTGCTAAAGTCAGGCTTTTGACTCGGGTGGTCATTTTGAGCTTGTAAGCACGTCCGTCTTTTTCTTCAAAGTTGTTTCAGCATTGGTGAAAAAATCTATCTGCTCGCAGGTAGATCGTCTTGATAAGGCAGCATAGGTGAAAGCAGAATTTTACGTAACTCGGGAGATGATCGTATTGAAGCGATAGATTTTCATCTGTAACAACTGAGAAATCGGTTGATGAAAACATTTTTGAAGTCGTGCGATATTTTCCACCGAGCAATTACGTCGTCGAATGGTTCTGAATTGTCGTTTCTTTAATAAGGCGTAGTCAGGTGTACTGTAGACGGTGGGGCAAACCCTTAGTATACAGTGTTCCCAGTTGCTTAGTAGTGCAAGCTCTTGAATGGAAAACAAACGAATTTTGTTTGTGGAAGCAACCTCAAGCTGTGTGTCTTGTGTGGTCGGGGAAATTACTAAATTTGCCCAATCAAATGACTTATGGAACATGGTATTACATTTAATGAAGTCACCGTCGACAATGCAGAGAAAGCATTCTAGATTCAGCAACAATACCAACGAAAGTTGCTCAACTAAAAGCTTCAGTTCGGTGATGATGTATCAGGGGCAATGTAGAAGTTTCCGATAACAACGGATTGAAAGCCACTGAGAAATTTAGGCTTGCATTCAAGTAAATGATAGGGGCTTGAATTCTGAGCGCTCATATTAATTAACTGGCTTAAATATTGCCCTGCCCGCCTTCCATCGAATGGAGCGTTACTGTCATCCCCTCACCCCCTGGGGCTCGGACTGGTCTTCATTTCAGTTTAATTAGTCACACTACTCATTTGCAATCAGTAACCACTAGTACTGGCTCATTCGTCCATGTTGCTCGGACATCTGTTGAACTCGAACCTCACGGTGCTCCTCATGCTTTGCGCACGCTGTTCACATGAGGGACAATGGAGTAAGAGTCGCGCAATCACAAAACGACCTTCGCTGTCACATGCTCTCATCAATGCAGATTGCCGCCTCTCATTTGTATAAGAAGACCTTGTGCTCCTAATTCCCGTACGAAGAATGGTGGTTCTCTGTGTATGCACTAATTGTCTTATTTACCTGTAGTCTACACTACCCAAAACCTGCCTATGTTTGTTGTTCATGCACTAGCTTTGTTGTTCGCTCAATAATCTCATCCTGACATTGGTGTCAGTTTATAACCGAAATTGTGACGCTCATCATTTCACGCTCCATTTGTATTCTATCCCCACACACAATTGATGACAGGAGATTCGTGGTCTGCAATTTTCTGTGAGTTCTTTTTGCGGCTGCTACTTGCAACTCACCAGATAAGACCCCGCCGCGAGCTATGTGTTCTGCGTGCGTTAGTGTGGGCGCGTGTGTTTGGAATGGTGCACTCTATGCCTTTGAACATTACTCTTGTGCCTACCCTTCTAAGAGTCTTCGGTACTTTCCGCTCAAACGAAGTCTATTGGTAGTTTTCCACTGTCCACCCTGATTTCTTATCTGTCTAAGCCCCATCTGACCACGACCGAAGGGCTTATCGTTGAATCGAAACTTTATCTGACACCCAAATTCACTGGAGAAGTCTTATGTATAGACACCTAGGTTCGGATTCCTTCAGCTGCCACTACAAAACTCTGTGCCCGAGAAGTTGTTCTAGTTCGCTACGCTAAACTTTTCAACTGATACACTATTACTGTTAAAATAACAGTCTCAAATGAAGCGGTTGAACGGTAGCCTGTCGCACAACTCTGTCTTTTAGCGACCAACAGATTAAACAGAGCAATCTCAGCAAAAATGCCAGCGTAGCTAACCTGCAGAAGCCTCAGTATATATAACCAGGCCACTTCCATAACTAACGACGCTTCTATATTCATGACATTCTTTCTTTGCTTCAATCAAATAAACGCACACAAACAAGCCAGTCAGCGTAGACACGGAGACGCGTAGACGTCCAATCATTTGTTTCGTTCGTTTACGGTAATCTAGCTGCTTGCTTGGTCGCGTAAATCGTTCACAGCCCTCTGGTCCCAGACCCCCATACACAATCTATCCACGCATCGTCATAAGGGATGAGATCAATCCTGTGGGTGCTACTTTTGAGTCTAGCACTGTCACTCTCTTGTTCGTTCACCACTGCTGCAACATGTTGCGGCATTATAACCGTACCATCGCCATGTCTGAAAGATTAATCAATAAAAATTTGATTGAATCCCTTAAGTCTCTGAACATGTTTAACATATCTCCACATGTTTTTTATGACGGACATTCCAATGCCAGATCTGGCATTGGTTTGCGAGACTCCGCGAATCAGCACCAAATAGCTGCACTGAAGATGTTACCTAGTTTGGTAACGAAACGTCTGCAACAGAAATGCCCAGCTCGGAGAACAGGACAATCCTTTCATTATTTTTGGATTTAGCAATAGCATTTGACCATGTACCGCACAAAATGCTGTTGAAATATGCAGAATCCCTTGGACCCCGGAACCGGCTTTTGAGTTTACTGTCCTACAGCCTTAGCGATCTATTTCTAATGGTCACTTTGGGTTACAACTACTCTTCCCCACGCCCAAGCACCAGCGGAGTCATCAAGGGTACTGTACTTAGCCATTTATATATTCTGCTCTACATAAATGATATTGCCATGTCCATCAAAAATGATCAACTCTTTTTAGTTGCCGATGACTCCAACAATTTGTATGAGCTCCGGTGTGATAATATCCAGAATTCCTTGCTTCTAGTTCAGAAGGATCTTCACTCCCTTGAGGAATGGTCCGATACGTTGGTAATAAGATTCTCCGTTGACAAATCAGGCATTTTGCCCATGGTTACTTGATCCTCGAATGGTCAGTTAAATGGGACTCGACCCGTGCTTTTGGAATCCATTATTCTTCTAACGCTCACGCTTCCGGCTATCCGTGTCTAACATATGCTACAGAATCCATACGGTCCTTTCAAAACTCGAATTTATCAAAACCCTCGCTCCTCCTATCCTTGAATACTGCAACTTCATCTATGGCAGCATACGAGAGATGTACAGAAGACACATAGTGCACACTGAAATCTTTGCACTGAGCGGCCGGGACACCCATAACTTTGTGCTGAATCTGTTTACATAGGCATAAGGACTACCGCGGTTTTATAAATCCTCAATCTTCATCATCAGCAGACGTTAGGCGAAGGTAAGAAACACACCTCAGCTAATGTGCTACAATACAACAAAATAAAAATTAAATATTGCAGACTATAAAAGCTAAAACATGCAACATAATGCTAAAATCACATTGGGTTTGAGAGGGGGAAACTAAAGGGACGGGGGGGAGACAAGGAGAAGGCTATCCTTTCAGCATTTATCATCGCTTTCTTTATAGCACTTAAACTCCCCTCACCCTATAAAAGATACAGCAACCATTACACCGATATTTCGATAATTTAATGGCTTAAATAGCCTTGATTCTGGCCGAGAACACGCACGTCATCGTCCTTCATTAGCCTTCCTTCAAACCATGATTTTAGCGAACTAAGTCTCTCGTTCATGGTTATTTGAATTGTTCTCAGCAATTCCTTTCTTTTTTGTTCACTTTGAGCCCCGTTAGTGTTGGTAGGTTGACCTTGAACACGGGACTTTGATCCATTTGCTATTCACCGTTGACCAATTTGGCAAAAGGTTCGCATTCACAACGCCACTTTTAATCGTATGTTTGTGGGCTGCCTCCGTGAGGGAATAAATCGTGTGCTTTAACCCTTAACCCTTTGGCCTTCCATTACCCAAATAGTCACCTCATTGTCTGCATCACCTTTTGCATTACAGGGGGATTGGCTCCCAATGTTTGCAGCTCCTGATGAAAGTGTAACCGAGTCAGCTTCCTGGCAAAATCAGGTGAGCGGTGTGCAACTTTCACACAATCTGCAGCCATGAAGTTCCCAACGGTATATATATATATATTCCCGCACACCGTATCCAACAGTTAGAGATGGCAGTCTTACTAAGCTAACTTGAATCCAGTGAGTGTCTGACTTACATCTGGCGCTGTCCAACTAGTGTTGTGTTCTATCTATTGTTCGTCGCCCTCGTGTGTGCGGTTTCAAGACAGATGATATTTTTGACGGAATCATTCGCAAAACAACGGCTCTCTAATGGGAGGTTCACTTTGAAGTATTTGTTGTATGATTAGATTGCGACGCACAATCTCGATGTGGACCGCGATTCACGTTGAAGTGAATCTTGACCGTAACTGAAGTGTATGGAAATTGGGTGTTGCCTGCCCGGAAGTACTGCACTCCGTGACACGTTTCACCCTTACTTGACCTCATCAGGTCAAGTGAGCAGGCAGCGAAACTGGGATCAATTGGATGTTAATCGGAAGCTCTATCCCTTTAGCCACTGAACTACGATGTGAAGTGCAGTGTTTTCGGGCGGGCGACATTCAATATTCATCTGCTACATCAATTACGGTCTAAGTGATGAAGTGACCAAGGTCCACCTTACGTATCACGGTATAGATTGAGATTGCGCGTCGCAATCCAATCACAGAGCTCGCACTTTAATGTGTTGCTGTAATCAGTCAGTAACCGTTGTGACAAGGATCGTCCATCGTGTACCGATGGCTTAGGGGTAGAGTTCCGGACTGAAGCCCGCTGTCTTAATCCAGCCGGATCGAACAAGTTTGAATGCATTGTTTTTTGGCGGAAAACACCCGATTTCCATGCACAACGGCCTTCTGTCTTGGGTGCAAGTTACCTAGCTGTCATCGAGCTCTGGGGAATTTGTCGGTGTATGGTCAGCTTGAGAATAACACGAGTTTGGTTACGTAGCCAGTTAGTGCGACCGGACCGAATTCAAAGCAACCAATCCAATGTCTACCTATTCGGTCAAAAAAACATGGCAAAAGTCGTCTTTTCAGACATCTCCATTATACTCTTGTTCATGCCACTTTCCCTAGTTCACCTTTGAGGCCCAGTGTCAACAAATGGTCTCTCAAGTCGTTGGTCCTAAGTGTATTGAACTTCAACGACCACCACCAAATTTGAAGAGTAAATTTATCAGTTATTGCTGCAGTGTAGCGAGGAAACTGGTCTTCTTGGATTTGTCGTATATCCACTATTTGTTACATGTTTGTACCGTACTTGAAAGATGAATCTTTGCGTCGCCAATACTCCTCGGAGGATAAACGGGTCAGCGAGACCGATGATTGTATGTAGTGAGAGGCTGGTGTATCATTTGTGCCTTCTATGCCGTTTTTACATTATATTTTTCTTTTTCCTAAACGAATGATTGACGGCGTCTGTTTTCGGATTTGTCTGTCACTGTGGCCAGCCACAGGACGCCTGCGCCTACAGAGCTACCATGGGTGGCTTGCGCTGCAACACCCACAGCTCCATCCATACCCCATATCCAGTGTAAAGCCGAAGGAATAAGACCGGGAAGCATGCGGATGGGGGCCAGATTTCACCAACGGAGCCGGCCAACAGGCCTACACAGACAAGCACAAGCACGCTGTATTTGGGAATTAATCGCACATAAGGCGGTGGCTGGACCGTATTCCGCTCCACACTAAGTGCATGGAACCACTCTTCGAGCCTAGCACGACCACAAGAACCGCGCACCCCGCCCAGCAACGACCAACTGTCTCCTAGAGTCAGTATAGAAGAGGTAGTGGGTAATAGGCAGGTAGGCACATTGTCAACATTCCCATCAAGCGGAGC